TCTCACTCTTTCTCTCCCAAATAAATAAACAGATAGATAGATAAATTTTTTTTTTTTTAAATGGGCATGCACTCAAGATGCAGGGAGGCCAGAAGCCTGGATTTTCTAGCAAGAATGATGTTGCAATGTCTCGTCTAAATGTAGTCTGAGTGCTGACAGGTTCACAGGACACAGAGAAGAAAGTTAAAGGGTACAAATCTAATTCCTACAGATGAATCTCCAATGTCTCAGATCACAAATCCAGGGGTTGAGAGTAACAGCAGACATGACAAAGTGAAGAACACATGAGGGAACCTGAAGACACAGCACAGACACTGCAAAGTGAGAGAGAGAAGGAAAGATACGAGAGTGAACAGAGAAACCCCAAGCTGGAGGACACCTTTAGGAGTGGAATAGGATGTAGTGTGTCCAAAAAGGAGAGGCAGCAGTGTGTAGGGGATGGAAAAATAATAGGGACAGTCATTGGCGAGATGTTCCAAACTTGATGAAACTGAAGATGCACGGGTTCAAAAATCTCAACACACCATGGGCACCTGGGTGGCTCAGCTGGTTAAGCGACTGCCTTCAGCTCAGGTCATGATCCCGGAGTCCTGGGATCGAGTCCCACATCAGGCTCCCAGCTCCATGGGGAGTCTGCTTCTCCCTCTGTCTCCTCTCATGCTCTCTCACTCTGTCTCTCTCTTGAATAAATAAAAAAAAAATTAAAAAAAAAAAAAAATCTCAACACACCAGAAGCACAAGACAAAGGAAGAAAAAACAACAACACCCATTTATATCAAATATTCAAGGCCATGAACAAGAGAGTCTTAGAAGCAGCCAGAGGGAAAGAGTCCCTGCACTCAGGGGAATAAACAGAAGAAGATGTTAGTGGCTTTTCCGTCAGTGGAAATGCCAGCAAGAGACACTGGATTAATGTCTCTAATTAGAGATGAAAGAACGGGAGGGGGTGGTGGGGGAGAACCAATTCATCCAGGGAAAACATCCTTCACAAATGAAGTCTCAATGAAACTTTTCACATAAAATAAGTGAAAGAAGTTTTCATCAGCTGACACACAATACAAGCAACAATATACATCCCTTAGGAAGATAAAATGATTCCAGGAAGAATCTGAATCTACAAAATGAATGTAAACATCATAAAAGCTAACTAGGGGGATAAATATTAAGACCTCTTTATTATCGAATTCTCTTTAAAAGTGTGCAGAAAAACATACTGTGCAGAACATAAAATAGCTATGTATGTTGGAACTCCTGACAGAGTTGAAATAATATGTAGCAAAATCACAGTGACTATGCTGAGAGGTGAGACACAGAAGGATGTTATCAGGTGCTTATGTTCCATATAAATTGATAGCATCACAGAACGTAGACTATTGCAAGTTATTGATCATCAGGCAGAAGGAACTTAAGCAAAAATGGGAGATAAGATGGAATCATTTAAAAATATTCTGTTAATCAAAAACATATATATGGAAAGAAGGAACAAAGAACACATGGGACAAGAACGTAAAGGAAAGTTGCTATATTGAAATGATATTACCAGTCACACTCAGGAAATGCTCTAAATGCCACGATTAAAGACAAAGGTTGTTAGATTGAATTTCACAGCAACACCCAAGTAGATGCTGCCCATCAGAAACCGCCAGGAAGGGAAGTGACACAGAATCTAAGCCACAATTTAAGATCATTCCCACACAATTCTGCTCCACCATCTGGGACATGAAACATTCACAGGGAACACATAGAAAATCTGAGAAGATGAATGGAGTCCCTAAAAATAATCAGGATGATTTTCTCTTACGTGTATCACACACAGGAGGAAGATCTGGAATACCCACAGTGAACGTGTCATGAGAACAACTACAAAATGCCCACACATGTCCCTTCTCTCCCGGACTTTAAGATTTTCAAACACAGAGTGACCAGAGCTCCCCACGAAGAGTCGAGAGGTGAGTGTGGCACATCATGCACCAGATCCAGGAAGCCCACCCAGAAGCACAGAGATTCTCTCTACCAGGCTGAGAAAGAGCATCTTCAAGGGGACCAGTGAGAGAATGAGGGAGGCTTGCAGGGGGGAAGACTCAGCTGTGGGCTCAACAGACAGAACTCGTCCCCACCATGACATGGACCCTCCTGCGCTCTCTCTCCTCACTCCCTGCCCAGGGGCTGTCCCAGGCCCTGACTACAGGTTCAGCCCCCACAGAACCCTGACCATGACTCTGCCCCTGAGCTCGGCCCAGGGCTTGCTGTAGGGGTTGGGACAACAGAGAACATCCCCCAGAGTTTCTTGAAACAGAGAACATCCCCCAGAGTTTCTTGAAACTGCAGGTACTCTGTTCACTTGTAAGACCCAGATGCCCCTGTAGATGGCCATGAGATCCCTGTCACTCCCACTGGCTCAGGAGAGCAGAGCAGAAGACAAAGCGGTGATGCAGAAGGGAGCCAGCAGGACCCAGGCAAGGCCCCAGCACAGCCAAACTGGCTCCACTGCCCCATAGACTCTGCAGTTGTAACCTGGAACACAAGCCCACAGACACTCCCTCTTGCAGGGGGAGGGTAGGGGGCTCCCTGATAGACCAGGCGAGGATGGGGATGGCTGTGAGTCTGCGGGCACAACCCCGGATGTACACTCTCTTCTTTCAACCATAGTCAAGTTCTGCCCAGAGGCTCCAGGTCTAAATCTAAGACACCTGGGCTGCATTTCCAGACTCCCCCTATCTTCCTCTGTTTTCCTGGGAACTTATTCTCTGGGCATCTGCTTTACTTGCTGTGAAATGGGGAAGCACATACTCAAGTAGGAAACATGTCATTTCAAATTAAATGATACAAAACACTGAAGTGTCTCTTTAATGAGAACAACTCAGTGGGTTCTTGGTGTTGGAGTCTCCAGTATACTTCTGTGGGTGCACAAGGACAAGTTTTCAGCTATACTGTACCTGCAGCATGTGCGATTGGATCCAGGTCTGAAGGAGCAGTTTGCCAACATCACCAAGCCACAGACTAGGATATTTTACAAATCCTCCCACACCAAACTTCAGGAGGTGAGTGCTGGATAATTTTTAAAAAGTAATAAAAACAGCAGTAATAACAATAAAATTAAATATATCCCTGCTCAACTGAACTTTACACCAGAAGCATCACCTGTCACTCCCATGTCCCAACTACACCGATAGGGATGCAGGAAGCATCGATTCTGATTCCTAAATACACAGGAACCCGGTGGCTGTGGGACATCACACAGGTTTGTTTGGACACTGACCCTTTTTTTTTTTTTTAAGATTTTATTTATTTGACAGACAGAGATCACAAGTAGGCAGAGACAGGCAGAGAGAGAGAGAGAGGAGGAAGCAGGCTCCCTGCTGAGCAGAGAGCCTGATGTGGGGCTCGATCCCAGGACCCTGGGATCATGTTCTGAGCCGAAGACAGAGGCTTTAACCCACTGAGCCACCCAGGTGCCCCAAGACCCTTTTTAAATGCACTACACCGTACCTTCTCTCTCATTCTTATAACAAGACTGCAGTCTACGGCAGGGCATTTCAACCCTGGGACAACTAGAGGAATCGCACCTGTCCTGTAGCCTACACCATGTATGTGACCTTTCTGTGTTCGGCTGGACAGGGCAGTGGGGCAGTTGCCTGTGGGAGGCTGGGAACCTTTGTCCACACTCTTTCTCAGGTGACAGGTGCTGCGGAGCAACTTGCAGGAGGGAAGCTCCTGGTGTGAGTCCATCTCCACCAGCAGGGGGCAGCAGAGCTGCATCAGGAGGTGCAGGACAGAAGCTGGAGCTGTCCAGGGGGAGCCTCACAGGGACATCAGTCCTGGCAGTCAACAGGTTGTCTGAGATTCAGTCCTCAGAGACTGTCAGGATGATCCACTCTAACTCCCCAGGCTTCAAGGACCATGTTCTGTGGGTCAGACACACTGTGTCAACCAGAACACTGACAAGAGTCCTGACACAATGCACATCTCACCTGGGAAATTCAGGTCCCTTCTCTGTCCACCAGTGTCTCCAGGGATTGACTCCTCTGTGCTGGGCACATCCAGAGACACTCACACTCTACCTCTCCTTCCCCACCTCCACCCCCACTCAGACCTGGGGCTGCAGCATCTTTGTTCAAGAGCATCTCAGGGGGCAGGAGGCAGAGCTATCAGGGATCCTGCTTCCTGGAGGAGCAATTGGAGCAACCTTGTGAGACTGTCTCCAGAGTGATGTGATTCTTTTGGCTGCAGGGACCATGCCTCAGGCCCTTGAGCTCACAAGACATGGGAACGTGTGATCATGTGGATCCTCGCAGGATCACAGACCTTGAGGTTGCTTCTCATGGATTCAGGCCATTTTCATATGTTCCCATGAAACATTGATGAAAAAATTAAAAGGGAACAAATGGCTGACAATGCCAGTTGCTGGTCTGCTGTGGGATGGGGGCTGTCATAGAGACAATAGCACCATGTGTAAATAGACTACAAATCCAGATAAATCTCCAAAAGCAGGTGGTTATTAGGCTAAGTAAACTTGCACTTACAAGATGATGAGCGAACCTCAGAATAAGAGAGTTTCCTATTCTGTTGACATGCCAAGGGTGGTAACAGTGTCTGTGGGGACACAGAGGGAACCTGAAGGAGGGCGGTGGGGAAGGTACTGAGGTCACAGAACCACCTTTCCCTGAATCACATGTTGTCTGACTCTCTCAGAGAGACCAGACCAGCCACATGGCCAGGATTCTGGAAGGCCATGAACTAGCACCAAAAGACCCCAGACATAATGGGTAGGGACAGTGGTTGTGTTCAAACTTCAGGATGCGAGTGTGATACTAAATTTGGAGACCAAGGCTCATTTTCTGATCTGAGAGTTGCTTACAGGAAGCTGAGAGTTCCTTTCTTCCTCTTCAGTCACCTGGTCTGAGCTCACAAGTGGTTTGAATGCATGTGCAGTCCCAGAGAGGAGGAAATTTGCATAAATACTAACAATCACAGACCCCAGAGCCTGGAAAGAAATAAGAGAGGATAGAGTGAGCCTGGCCCAGCTGTGGTTCTCAGAAGACAGAGCACTGAGCACATGCACCATGGCCTGGACTCCTCTCTCACTTCTCGTCGTCACTCTCTGCACAGGTGCTGTCCCCAGTCCTGCCTGCACTCAGCTGCACAGGACCTGAGTTGAGCCTGCGCCAAACCCCAAGCTCAGGCACAGCATAGCCTCAATATTGGGACCCTGGGATGAGTCTCCGGACCTCATTGCAATCTCTCCTCTTCTGTCTTTTCAGGCTCTGTGACCTCGAGTTAGCTGACTCAGCCGCCCTTTGTGCCAGTGGCCCTGGGTCAGATGGCTAAAATCACCTACACTGGAGAGAAACTGGAATATGGTTATGTACACTGGTACCAGCAGAAGCCAAGTCAAGACCCTTTGATGGTCTTTTATGATGATAGTTAGCGGCCCTCTGGGATCCCAGAGCGAATCTTTGGCTCCAAGTCAGGGAACACAGCCACCCTGACCATTGGCAGAGCACAGGCTGAGGACGAGGCTGACTTACTGTAAGTACTATGACAACAGTGCTGGTGCTCACAGTGACACAGGCAAATGGGGAAGTGAGACACAAACCCCTTCCCCATCTATGTCACCCTCTCCTCCAGCGCCAGCAGATCTGTGCACAGAGCACTGAGCAGGTCTGTCCCAGGTCCCCAGGTCTGAGGTCTCCAGTTTGTCCCCTTCCCCCCAGTCCTCTAGGCAGGCTGCACAGGGCAGATCAGCATGAAATTTGTAATCAATTATTAGAACTCTGTTTCCCTGGGACTGTGGGTGAAGAAAAGACTACACATGTGAGAAGCAGAAATGGAAGACATTTTTTATTTTTTTTATTATTTTTTTAAAGATTTTATTTATTTATTTGACAGAGAGAGATCACAAGTAGATGGAGAGGCAGGCAGAGAGAGAGAGAGAGAAGGAAGCAGGCTCCCTGCTGAGCAGAGAGCCCGATGCGGGACTCGATCCCAGGAACCTGAGATCATGACCTGAGCCGAAGGCAGCGGAGCCGAAGGCAGCAGCCTAACCTAACCCACTGAGCCACCCAGGTGCCTGGAAGACATTTTTTAAAGAAACTTTGTTTTAAAAACTTCCCTAAATGAATATGTCTGAAATTTAAAAATACAGGGGATAGATGGACAGCAGGTATGATGCTGCAAAAGAAAAGAATAGGGAATTTGAAAGAGATATAAAGTGTTCAAAATGAAAGACACAGTGAAATGACTAATTAAATTAATGAAGGCTAAGTGCCTGTAGGACACCTTTGTGCCACCCAGACAGTGTGCAAGGGCAGAGGCTTCAGGGAGGGAAGGTATGAAACTGAGGGTGAATCAAAAAAATAGGAGAAGAAACAATCTACAGAAAAGGCTTCAAATTTGAATAAACCTAGGAACTTATATATCCAGGAAGCTCAATGAAGCTCAGGCACAGGGAACATGAGAGACAGCACAGGGCACATCGTATGAAATTATAACAAAACAACAATACAGAAACTCTCACAACCAGAGAGGAGAGTCTTGTTTCCTACAGAGAACCAGCATCATGGAGGAAGTACATTTCTTTTGTTTGTTTGTTTGTTTTGTTTTGTTGGGGGGGGGGAAATCACTCTGGTTTTTATTGTTTTATTTTTTTTAATTTCTTTTCAGCGTAACAGTATTCATTGTTTTTTGCACCACACCCAGTGCTCCATGTAATACGTGTCCTCCCTAATACCCACCACCTTGTTCCCCCAACCTCCCCCCCCGCCCTTTCAAGACCCTCAGGTTGTTTTTCAGAGTCCATAGTCTCTCATGGTTCACCTCCCCTTCCAATTTCCCTCAACTCCCTTCTCTCCATCTCCCCATGTCATTTGTTATGCTCCACAAATAAGTGAAACCATATGATAATTGACTCTCTCTGCTTGACTTATTTCACTCAGCATAATCTCTTCCAGTCCCGTCCATGTTGCTACAAAAGTTGGGTATTCATCCTTTCTGATAGAGGCATAATACTCCATAGTGTATGGACCACATCTTCCTTATCCATTCATCCGTTGAAGGGCATCTTGGTTCCTTCCACAGTTTGGTGACTGTGGCCATTGCTGCTATAAACATTGGGGTACAGATGGCCCTTCTATTCACTTCATCTGTATCTTTGGGGTAAATACCCAGTAGTGCAATGGCAGGGTCATAGGGAAGCTCTATTTTTAATTTCTTGAGGAATCTCCACACTGTTCTTCAAAATGGCTGCACTAACTTGCATTCCCACCAACAGTGTAAGAGGGTTCCCCTTTCTCCACATCCTCTCCAACACATGTTGTTTCCTGTCTTGCTAATTTTGGCCATTCTAACTGGTGTAAGGTGGTATCTCAATGTGGTTTTAATTTGAATCTCCCTGAAGGCTAGTGATGATGAACATTTTTTCATGTGTCTGATAGCCATTTGTAGGTCTTCTTTGGAGAAGTGTCTGTTCATATCTTCTGCCCATTTTTTGATATGATTATCTGTTTTTGTTTTGTTTTGTTTTAATTTATTTGACAGAGATCACAGGTAGGCAGAGAGGCAGGCAGAGAGAGAGGAAGGAAATCAGGCTCCTTGCTGAGCAGAGAGCCCGATGCGGGGCTCGATCCCAGGACCCTTGGATCATGACCTGAGCCAAAAGCAGAGGCTTTAACCCACTGAGCCACCCAGGGGCCCCTATGATTATCTGTTTTGTGTGTGTTGAGTTTGAGGAGTTCTTTATAGATCCTGGATATCAACCTTTTGTCTGTACTGTCATTTGCAAGTATCTTCTCCCATTCTGTGGGTTGCCTCTTTGTTTTGTTGACTGTTTCCTTTGCTGTGCAGAAGCTTCTGATCTTGATGAAGTCCCAAAAGTTTATTTTTGCTTTTGTTTCCTTTGCCTTTGGAGACATATCTTGAAAGAAGTTGCTGTGGCTGATATTGAAGAGGTTACTGCCTATGTTCTCCTCTAGGATTCTGATGGATTCCTGGCTCACGTTGAGGTCTTTTATCCATTTTGAGTTTATCTTTGTGTACGGTGTAAGAGAATGGTCGAGTTTCATTCTTCTACATATAGCTGTCCAGTTTTCCCAGCACCATGTATTGAAGAGACTGTCTTTTTTCCACTGTATATTTTTTCCTGCTTTGTCGAAGATTATTTGACCATGGAGTTGTGGGTCCATATCTGGGCTCTCTACTCTGTTCCACTGGTCTATGTGTCTGTTTTTATGACAGTACCATGCTGTCTTGGAGATCACAGCTTTGTAGTAAAGCTTGAAATCAGGTAACGTGATGCCGCCAGTTTTATTTTTGTTTTTCAACATTTCCTTAGTGATTCGGTGTCTCTTCTGATTCCATACAAATTTCTGGGTTACTTGCTCCAGCTCTTTGAAAAATACCGGTGGAATTTTTATCGGAATGGCATTAAAAGTATAGATTGCTCTAGGCAGTATAGACATTTTAACAATGTTTATTCTTCCAATCCAAGAGCATGGAATGGTCTTCCATCTTTTTGTGTCTTCTTCAATTTCTTTCATAAGTGTTCTGTAGTTTCTCGAGTACAGATCCTTTACCTCTTTGGTTAGGTTTACTCCCAGATATCTTATGGTTCTTGGTGCTATAGTAAATGGAATCGATTCTCTAATTTCCCTTTCTGTATTTTCTTGTTAGTGTATAAGGAAGCCACTGATTTCTGTACATTGACTTTGTATCCTGCCACGTTACTGAATTGCTGTATGAGTTCTAGTAGTTTGGGTGTGGAGTCTTTTGGGTTTTCCACATAAAGAATCATGTCATCTGCGAAGAGAGAGAGTTTGACTTCTTCATTGCCAATTTGGATACCTTTTATTTCTCTTTGTTGTCTGATTGCTGTTGCTAGAGGAAGTACATTTCTCATCATGAACTATGTAAACTGTAAAACTGTAGAAAAAAAGAGCTACATTTTAAAATTCTAGTAGGAAATATCTGTCATCTTTGGTCTTTACTGACAAAAAATGTCATTGCAAAGTGAAGACGAAATCAACCTTTCTTAGACAACAGTCTTCCCAGAACTGATCACCTGCAAACCCTCAGCATGAGTGACAGTGATGGACGCCCCTTAGAGAGAAGGAAAGGGTGACAGAAGGAAAAGTGAGTCTGCACAAACTATAATAAGCTTGGGAAATCGTAACTACATGGATAAACCTAAAACAAGTTTTAGTGGTTAATGCCTAGAAATACAGTCATGTGCTTAAAGCAAAAACCATAGCAACGTGTTAGATTTACAGTGGAAGAACAAGTAAAACATGACAATGAAAGCAGAAATGATGAGGGAGATGGGACCATGTTATGACGTCCTTATCCTGCAAGTGAGTGATGTCAGGTCACTGGGAGGAACTCTGATGAGGTAGGAGGTAAGGACTGACTGCAAAGCCATAAGAAAAAAACCATTAAAACAACATCATTTTAACAACAAAGAGCTATAGATACTAACGTGCATGACTTAGGAATATCCGGAGGGTACAGATCTAATAGGACATGGATGTCATGTGCATGTATGTGTGTATTTCTCTGTGATGCACAGAGAGACAGAGATGGTGGGAGAGAGTCACTCAGGTTAAGAATAAGCTCAGGCAGTCCTGGGGTGGCAGGTCTGGAAGATGCAGGACAGGACAGAAGGCATGGAAGTCAGGAAAATGTTGCAAACTTTCATCCAAATTTCATCTGAAGGATTGAAAACCTAAGAGGAGACAGAGAAGAAAATTAAAGCACCCCAATCAAACCACTAGAGATGAAAACAACAGTGTGTCAGATCACAAACACAACAGTTGAGATCACCAGCAGACACGACAAGATGAAGATCATGAGGGAATCTGAAGACACAGCACAGATATGGCAAGTGAAAGGCACAGAGAGACTTTATAGGTGAGCAGAGCAGCATTCAGTGTAGGAAAATGTGAGCAATGTCATGCACATATAATTGTGAACCCAGGGAGTGAGGGTGGGGAAGGGAGGATAAAAAAATATTTGAGGAGTATTTGCCAAAAATGTTTCAAATTTCATGAAAATTCAGTACCTATATTTTCCAAATTTTTGAGAAACCCTAAGTACATGAAATACGGGGCGTGGGGGGAAACAACCACCCAACCCCCATCCACTATCACATTGTGAAAGGCAGAGAAAAAGAGAGTGTGAAAAACACCCTGAGAGGAAAGACACTAGATTCAGAGGAACAGTGAAGGATACCAACAAATTTCTCATGAGCATAAATGCACACAGAGGGCAGTGGCTTAACATCTTCAAAATACTAAACAAACAAACAAACACACACCCTTATTTCTTTATCCATGGGAAATAGCCTTCCATAACGAAGGCCTTAAAAAAACCTTTTCTCAGCTCACCAAACTGACAGAACTGATCATCAGCAGACCCATATCACAGGAAATACTACTGGACGTCCCTCAGGCAGGAGGAAGGGAATCCAGAAAGAATCCAGATCTACGAAATGATTGTAAGAGTCAGAAATTATAACTACAGGGATAAATATGAAGAATTTCTTTTGACAATTTAACTCTCTTTGAAAAATAAATCACTGTCTAGAGCAAATCTAATTCACTGCATATGTTGGAATTTATCACAGTAGCTAACAGTGATGGGTATGACATTCCTACCACAGCCCTGAGAAGGTAGGAATTGGGCTCTAATGTCTGAGGCTCCCTGTCCCATGGTGTGATGTCACCTGAATGTAGCCTGTGATGAGACACAGATTACAGGAGAGCAAGGAGTTACCGTAATAAGCCAAAACAGAAAAACAAAGCAGATTATAGAAAAATGCTCCAATTCTCAAGAAGAAGATAAAAATGGAAGAGAAAAGACAACCCATGGAACATAGAGAAAATAAAAATGGGGATGGGATCTAACAAACTATGTTACCACACAAAGTCAGGAAAGGCTCTAAACCCCACAATTAAAAACAGACATTGTCAAAATGATTTTAATAGCAACATCAAAGGATGAGAAAACTACATAAATAATCTTATACTAAATGCAAGATCAAGACAATATTCGCACTCAATTCTGTTCCATAATTCAAGATGTAAAAAAAAAGCACAGAACAGAGGGGAATTGGGAAGTTGAATTGAACTCTTACACGCGGTCAGGATGGAATATTTCATGTCTAGTGTATTTGAAACACTCACAGAAATAGAATCAAATGATCACATGACAAATTTCATGAAAACTTCAACAGAAATGCCATCCGCTCTCCCTCTCCCCAGTTGTGATGCAGCTCAAACACAGAGTGACCAGAGCTCCCCTATGGAGCTGAGAGGTGAGCACAGCCAAACCTGCGCAGCTCGCACAGAAGCAAGGAGATTCTCTCCGCCAGCATGAGGACCATTTTCACAGGAACCAGTGAAAAGGCATGAGGGAGGCTCAGGGAGGCCAGGCTCAGCAGTGGACTCAAGAGAAAGAGTCTGGGCTGCCCACCAATGCCTGGACCCTCCTCTGCTCCTCCTCCTGATTTGCTGCCCAGGTGCTGCCCAGGCCCTGCTCACAGGCTCAGCCCCCACAGGACCCTGAGCATGACCCTGACCCTGAGCTCTGCCCAGAGGGTACCAGAGGTGGTGGGACCCAGAGAATGAGCCCCTAGAGGACTTTTGTCCACTGCAAGACTCATCTGACCCTATTACTGTGCCCTCAAGACCTCTGTCACTCCTCCAAACATGGAGCACAGAGAGAACAAAACAATAATATAGAGTAGATGCAGCAGGACCCAGGTCAGGCCCCTGTACCACCAAACAGCCTCTACTCTCCCCATAGATTCTCCAACTCAAACCTGGGGCATGACATCCCTGACCCTCCACATGGTCTGACTAGCCAGGTTCCCTTATAGGCCAGGCCATGAAGAGGATGGCAGTGAGCTGAGGGACAGAAGTCCTGCTGCCCAGCTTGGCCTCACCCTCTCTCCCTCCTGTTCTGGTCTAGCTCTGCCCTAATGAGACCAGCATCTGAATCCAGCACATCTGGTCTCCATTTCTGGACTTGCCCCACTCTCCTCTGTTTTTCTGGGAAGCTAGCCTCTCTGGGCCTCAGCTTTACCTGCTGTGAAATGGGGAAGCTTACACTCAAGTAAGAAACACTGTTTAAATTTCACATTAGTGTATGTGCTGCCAAAGTGAGCACTTCATTTCACATTAAATGATACAAAATATTTTAAGAGTCCTACTAATTAGTAGAGAGTCAATGTGAGTTCAGTGAGTTGAGCTTGTGGTTGGAGTGTCTGGTCGTCCTCTGTGGGAATCCAAGGAAAAGTTTTCAGCTGCCCTGTGACCTGCATCATGTGCACCTGGGTCCAAGTATAATTAATAGATGCCCAATTCCACAAAAGCAGAGAATAGGCTACAAATCCTCCCACACAAAACTCATGAGAAGAGGGCTGGAGTAATTTAAAATGCAGTAAAAGTAACACTATTGAGGATAAAAGTTAAGGTTTGCCTGCTCAACTGAACTTAGCACCAGAACCATCGCCTGTCGCTCCCATGACCCAACTATATGGATACGGATGCAAGAAGCATTGGTCTGATTCCTAAATACACAGGAACCCAGTGGCTGTGGGACATCACCCAGGTTTGCCCAGACACTGACCCTTTTGAAATGCACTGCATTGACCCATGCACTCTCCTTTCTGAAAGAAGACAATGGGTTACTCCAGGGCATTTCAACCCTGGAACAAGCACAATAATCCCACCTGCCCTGCCTCCTGCACCTTGTATGTGACCTTCTCTGCTGGGTTGGGCAGACCAGGGGGGCAGCTGCCTGTGGGAGGCTGGAAACCCTGGTCCACACCCCTTCTCATGTGACAGGTGCTCTGGGGTGACCTGCAGGAGGGAAGCTCCTGGTCTGAGTCTGTTTCCACCAGCAGGGGAGCAGCAGAGCTGCATCAAGGAGCTGCAGGACAGAGGCTGGGGTGGCCCAGTGGGGGGTCTTCAGGAACACCAGGCCAGGATTTCAGCAGGTTGTCTAAGGTTCAGTCCTCAGAGGCTGTCAGGATGATCCATCCTAACTCCTCTGGCTGCAAGGACCTTGCTCTGAGGGTCAGATACACAGTGTCACCCAGGACAATGACATGAGTCCTTACACAGTAAACATCTCACCTGGGAAATTCAGGTCCCTTCTCTGTCCACCAGTGTCCCAGGGACTGACTCCTCTGTGCTGGGCACATCCAGAGACAACTGATGACTCACACTCTACCTCTCCTTCCCCACCTCCACCCCAACTCAGACCTGGGGCTGCAGCTCCTTTGTTCAAGGGCATCTCGGGGGCAGGAGGCAGAGCACTTGGGGATCCTGGTTCCTGGAGGAGCAATTGGAGCCTCCTTGTGAGACTGTCTCCAGAGTGACGTGACTCTCATGGTTGCAGGGACCATGGCTCTGGGCCTCAAGCTCACACCATATGGGAACATGTGATCATGTGGATCCTCACAAGACCACCAACCTTGAAATATTTTCACATGGATTCAGGCCATACTAACAGGTTTGCATGAAACGTTGATGAAAAAAGTAAACAAAATCAACTGGTTGATTATGTCAATTGCTGGTCTGCTGTGGGATGGGGGTTGCATAGAGACAACAGCACCATGTGTAAATAGACCAGAAATCCTGATGAATCTCCAACAGCAGGTGGTTGTTTGACTAGTAAGCTCCCACTTACAAAATGATGATGAACCTCAAAATGAGAGTTTCCTATTTTGTTGTCATGCCACAGATGGGACCACAGAGTCTCTGGGGTATGGAGAGGGAATGAGAAGCCAGGGAAGGAGGTTATGAGGTCACTGAACCACCTTTCCCTGACTCTAGTGTTATCTGCATTTCTCAGAGGGACAAGACCAGCAGCCCATGGCCAGGAATCTGGAAGACCCTGGGCCAGCCCCGGACAAACCCCAAGAAGAATGTGTAGGGTCAGTGGTTGTGTTCAAATCTCTGGAATGTGATTGTGATACCAAATTTGGAGACCAACTTTCATTTTCTGACCTGAGAGCTGTTGGAGGAAGCTGCAGGATCATTTCCTCCCTCCTCATTCACCTGGCCTGAGCTCACAGATGGTTTGAGTCCCAGAGAGAAGGAAATTTGCATAAATACTATCACCCACAGAACAAAAGGCCTGGAAAGAAGAGAGGCCAGGGTGAGGCTGATTCAGCTGTGATTCTCAGAAGCAGCCCCGAGCAAATCCGCCATGGCCTGGACTTCTCTCTCACTCCTCATCCTCACTCTGCACAGGTGCTGTCCTCAGTCCTGCTCACACTCTCAGCCCCACAGGACCTGAGCTGAGCCTGCCCAAAACCCTGAGCATAGGCACAGCACAACCTCAGTATTAGGATCCTGGAATGAGCCCCTGGACCTCATTGCAACCTCTCCTCTTCTGTCTTTTCAGGCTCCGTAGTCTCCAGTGAGCTGACTCAGCCATGCTTTGTGTCAGTGGCCCTGGGACAGACGGATACAATCACCTGCACTGGAGAGGAACTGGAATATGATTATGTACACTGGTACCAGCAGAAGCCAGGAGAAGCCCCTTTGACAGTCATTTATGCAGATAGTGAGCGGCCCTCTGGGATCCCAGAGCGATTCTCTGGCTCCAAGTCAGGGAACACGGCTACCCTCACCATCAGCAGGGCACAGGCCAAGGACGAGGCTGACTGTTACTGTCAGCTGTGGGATAGTGGTAATGCTCATAGTGACACAGGCAGATGGGGAAGTGAGAAACAAACCCCTTGCCCATCTGTGTCACACTCTCCTCCAGCTCCAGGAGGAGAGCAGAGCAATGAGCAGGTCAGGCCCAGGTCCCCAGGTCTGAGGTCCCCAGTTTGTCCCCTTCTTCCCAGTCCTCCAGGCAGGCTGCACAGGGCAGATCACCAGGGCATTTGTAAGCAGTTGTTAGAACTCCATTTCCTCTGGGACTATGTGTGGAGGAAGGACTGCACATGTGAGAAGCAGAAATGGAACACCTTTTTAAAGAACTTTTCTTTTAAAACTTCCCTAAATGAATATGTCTGAAATTTAAAAATACTGGGGATAGACTGACAGGAAATATAATGCTGTCAGGGAATCTGATGGCATAGCGATGGAAAGTATTCAAAATGAAACACACAGTGAAAGACCTAATAAAATTAATGAAGGCTCAGTGCCCAGAGGATACCTTCACACCACCGAGACAGTGTGCAAGTGTAGGGACTTAAGGGAGGGAAGGTGAGGGACTGGGGGTGAAATAAAAAGTCTGTGAAGATATAATCTAAAAAAGGCTGTAAATTTGGAGAAACCCAGGAACCAATGTATCCGAAACTCTCACAGGCAGAGAGGAGAGTCCTGTACCCTACAGAGTTCCCAGAATCGTGCTGGGAGCACATTTCTCATCATGAACCATGTAAACTGGAAAACAGGGAGCAATGTCTTCAACATGCTAATAGGAAAAATCTGTCGGCATTGGTCTTTACTGATGAAAAATGTCATTGAAAAGTGAAGACAAAATCAACCTTTCTCAGACAGCAAACCTCCCAGAACTGATCACCCACAGACCCTCAGCACAAGTGAGAGTGAAGGACGCCCCTCAGTCAGAAGGAAAGAGTGGCATATGGAAATGTGAGTCTGCATAAAGTATAATAAACTTCAGAAATCATATCTACATGGAAAAACCTAAAACAAATTTTAGTGGTCAATGTGTGGAAATACCATCCAGTGCTAAAAGCAAAAACAATAGCAACATGTTTAATTTATAATGGAGGAACATGTAAAACGTATGATGATGAGAGCAAAAATAATGACAGAGAAGAGACCATGTTATGGCGTCCTTATCCTGCACCTGAGTGATGTCGTGTCATTGGGGGGAACTATAAGATACGGGGTGATGGCTGCAAACCCACCATAGGCTGGACCTTTTCCTGTTTCCCACCTCACTCGCTCCCAGGTGCTGACCTGGTGCTGCCCATTGGGTCAACCCCCAGAGGAACCTGAGCATGACCTTGAACCTGAATTCAGCCTGGAGAGTGCTGCAGGGTTGGAACCCAGAGAAGGAGCCCCTGATTCTCCTGAAACTAGAGGCCTTGTGTCCACTGCAGGACTCACTGACCCCAGCTGTATGGCCAGAAGACTCCTGTCATTCTCTCCAACTTAGAGGACAGAGAGGAGTAAGCAATAATACGGAGCAGATCCAGGAGGACACACGCCAGGTCCCTGTATAGCCAAACATTCTCTACTGTCCTCACAGATTCTCCAGCTCTAACCTGGGATAGGACACCGCTGATCCACCCCACGTGCAGGCTGAGGGGACTCCTCCATACACCAGGCAGGATGGGGATGGCAGTGAGTTCAGTGACAGGAGCCCTGCTGCCCAACCTGGCCTTACCCTCCCTCCCTCCAGTTCTGCACAAGCCCTGCCCCTAGGTGCCTGGGATCTGAATCCAGCACACCTGGGCTCCATCCTGGACTAGCCCCACTTTTCTCTGCTCTCCGGGGAATCTTTTTTCCTGGACCTCAACTTTATGTGATATGAAATGAGGACAATTATGCTGATGTTAAAAACAGTTTGTTTCCAAATTCGATGATGTACAAATATTGACAGAGTCTTATGAATGAAACAGAGGTTGTAGGGTCTCAGTGAGTGGACACTGGGCAGGGAGTCTCTTGTCCATCCTCTACAGAAACCCAAGGGAAGGGGCTCAGCAAAAGTGTTACATGTATGATGTGAAATTGCACATGCAGGTCTGATTCCCAACTTCCCTGTTTCATCCACATCACCCAGGAGGCTCGTGTACAAATCATCCTCCCTCAGACTGCTAGTGCACTGGGTTGTAGTAGAAACAACAGTGTCAGAGATGACAGGAATATGCAAATAAAGATTTAGGTGCACATGTGAACGTTAGTGCTAGAAGGATCCCCTGTTGCTCTGTGACCCAGCGACACTCACTGGGATGCAGGCAGCATCGGACTTAAGAAAGGAGTGCCAACAGGATCTCACAAAGGTTTTCTGAACTGTGACCCTTTCAGCACACTACACTTTAGCCTGCACCCACACTACTGCAACAGCCAGTGGCAAGGCTAGGCCATATCAACCCGTGGACAAGAGGAAGGAATCCCACCTGTGCTGTCTCCTGCACTCTGTGTGAACTTCTGTGCTGGTCTGGGCAAGGCAGTGGGGGCAACTTACTGTGGGAGGCTGGAAACCCTTGTCCACACCCTTTCTCAGGTGACAGGTGCTGTGGAGTGACCTGCAGGACAGAAGCTCCTGGTCTGAGCCAGTCTCCACCAGCAGGGGGCAGCAGACCGCATCAGGAGCAGCAGGACAGAGGCTAGGGCTGACCAAAGGGAGCCTCACAGGGAAACCAGGCCTGGGGGTCAGCAGGGGTCCAGGGTTCAGTCCTCAGAGCCTGTCAGCCTGATCTATCCTAACTCCTCAGGCTCCAGGGACTATGTTCTGAGGGTCAGATTCACACACAGTTACCCAGAACATTGAAATTCCAGTCCCTGTCTCTCTACCTGAGGTCCCAGATAACTGACTCTTCTCTGCTGGGCACGTCCATAGGCACCCTGACTCCTACCCATCTGCCTCTCCTGCCCCACTCCTTGCAGATGCAGATCTTGGGCTGCAGGTGCCTTGCTCAGGAGTGACTCGGGGGGATGGGAGATGGGGCACTCAGAGCCCCTGGTTCCTGGAAGGTGGGTCTGCAGCCTCCTGTGAGACTGTCTACAGAGTGAAGTGATTCCCATGGTCTCAGGCCATGTCTCTGGTCCCTGTGCTGTCCTTGCTTCAGAGACAGGTCCTGTTCCCAGGAGGGACCACAGACTATCTGGTCCCCAGAACTCATTCCCTATGCAAAGATGTAACCATGGGGACCCTCAAAGAGGCACAAAACATGAAGTGAGTCCCTCAGTCAGGGGTGGTTTCTGGCACTTTGCAAAACTTACATGAGACATGGAAGAAAAAAATGAAAGGAATCAAAGTGTTGAGATGTACATTGCTGGACTGCTGTGGGATGGAGTGAGTCAGAGAGATAGTCAGCCCACACGGAAATAAACTAGAAGTCATGGTGACTCTCTAAGAGCAGGTGATTCTACAACAGTAAATTCCCAAACGTACCATGATAAACAAGTGTCATAATGAGAGAGTTTCCCATTCTCATGACATGTTGAGGATGGGACCAGAGTTCAGCTGGGGGATGCAGAGGGGACGTGAAGCAGGAGGGGTAGACACTGAGGTCACAGGACCACTTTCCCTGAATCAGGTGTTGTCTGTAGCTCTACAAGAGCCCAGTTCAGCCCCATGGCCAGGCTCCTGAAAGGCCTCCCTGGAGCTGACTCAGCTACCCTGTCCTCACTGACCCTGGGACAGATGGTCATGATCACCTGTCAGGGAGACAGTACAGAAATCTTCAGTGTTTAGTGGTACTTGCAGCTGTCAGGACAGGTCCCTGGCTGGCCATATGTAACAGTAACAAGGGTCCCACGGGGATTTCCTGATTCTAGGAGTCCAACTTGGAAGAAAGGGACACCCTAAACACCAGCAAGACTAGGGCCAAGGACGAGGCAACTACTACTATCAGGTGTGGGACAGTGGTACTAACGCTCACAGTGAGAGAGACAGGGTTGTGAGATAAAAACCTCTTTCCTATCTGTGTCATACTCTCCATCAGCCCCTGGAGGACTGTGGACAAAGCACATAAGTCTGGTCCAGGGCCCCAGATCTGAGATTCCCAGGTCCATCTCCCAACATAGCCCTCCAGGCAGCCTCTGTATCATGTGGATCAGGGGTGCCTGTACAGGAGGCAGGATGGCACTGTCATGTTTTTTGGCCTAGGGTACTTGTTAGAGATGAAAGATCAGGCTGGAAGGACAAAGAGACATCCATGGAGACAAGACAAGCTCAAAGTGACAAGGCGAAGTCTCAGCTTTCCATTGAACAGAATCATTGTGGTGTTTCTGTGTGGAAGCAATTCTCCTTTAGAACTAAGACCTCTAGGGAAGCAAAGTGTACGGTCATGGTACAAGGACTGAAAATTCTGCAGTAGGTCATCCGGAATATCAGTGAGTAAGGACGCTTACCATTCCACCCATTTGTTCCTGGATCCATGAATGCTGCCTATGGGAGAAACAGCTTGTATATCGGACACCTATTTAGAGCAAATATCACCTCCTTGCCCACAGTCCCACAAGGTGTGGCATGTGACCGGATGGTAAACAAGTCTGCAAGAAGCCCCTAGTCCATCATTCAAGCCAGCTGTTTCTCTCTGCTGTAAAACAAAAGAAACCATGAACGACATGATTTCTGGGGGCGCCTTGGGCTCAAACCCTGCCAAGGTGTCCATCTGCACACCTGGGCCCAAACCCATGTTCTAAATTGTCAGGATCTCTGGGAGCTGGGAGGAAGGTAAGGACCCAGAGATCGAAATTGAAGGCATGGAGAGGCATGGGTGGTGCAGCTGGTTCAGTGGCTGACTCTTGGTTTTGGCTCAGGTCACGATCTCAGGGTCGTGGGATCGAGTCCTGCTTGGGGCTCTGTGCTCAGTACAAAGTCTGCTTGAGAATCTTTCTCCTTCTTGCTCTGCTCCTACCCCCTGCTTGCTCTCTTCTCTCTCACTCAAATAAATAAATAAAATCTTTAAAAAAAAAAAAAAGAAGAAGAGTAGGCATGGATGGTAGTTGAGGGGTCAAAGCCATGGGGGAAAGTTCCACCAAAGATACAAAACATGTGTCCTTGGAAATAAA